TGTTGACCACCCCGTAACTTATTTTGTCTCTTCTACTTTTTATTCCACCTCCATTCAATTACTCACGTATTCTATTTGCCTTTCTGTCCCATTGATTTCCTTTATTCGTTTGGCTTTACTTCCCGATACACCCTAGGTTCTCTTTTTCTGTCTACGTTCCTATTCTGTTTCTGATCCTATCACCACGTTTGATTTCCGTTTAGTTTATTCTGTCGTATTTCTCTATGCATTTCTCTTTTTAGATACACCAGCCACAGAATATATCCATCTCTTTTTCCTTTTTGGTTGCGGAAGCACTTATGGTTAAGCGCGGCGCGGTAGATCGCTGATTGGCGGACACTCCTTCTCTCCTGTTACTACAACAACTACTATTACTATACTGCTACCACTATCTTTTCCCAACATGTACTGTAGCGAGCCGCGGCGATCGCTCTTCGACGATAATTTGGAGACAACCAAGGTTCAGGCGGAAATTATTCGGAAATGATTGAATCTTTTGATTTGCAAGCAGAGTAAGTTTAAAGTATCATAAATAAGCATAAATAATTGTAGAATTAATTTCTCTATAGTTACCAAATGCAAAGAGTATCTTGATTGTTTTTGCAAATGCACCAGTAATTTTATCAACATTTTTTTGTAAAATTTATAAAACTTTCTCAGAAAATAAGTAGTATTAATTTGCATATTATAGTTATTATCAGACATAACTTTTTGGCTCGTTTTCTTGCTAAATTTATAAGAATTAGTAAGATTATTACACTAAATATCAGTATGGGAAAGTGCTCGCTACTATTAAGATTCTGCTTGCACTATTAAGATATACGATAACTGTAGCAAGTAACTACTTACTCTACTTGCAAGTTGAACAGGTTTTCGCTTTCTATAAACGCAAGACAAGAACCACGCTTCTTCAAAGACTCCGAAGACGCAGCGATGGCCGCGCGGATCGTAGCGAATATATATGCAATGACAACTATAATTATGCAAATGCGGAAGGGCGGAGCGGTGACCTACAGGCGTTTCTAGCGTGCTTATATAGTTTAGGCAAGGATGTAGCGAGAGAATCTGCTGTGCTTTTGCGATATTCACGCGCAGAATATACAGGTTGCGGAGCGTCGATCACGTCCATCACGCCGCTCGTCATCCGGAGATCGTACTGTTCGAGAACCACGCAACTCTACTCGTGCATCGCAATCGTGCGAACGCCTTTTTGCTATAATAATCTCTCGCCGAGCGTGCAAATTCGGCACGAGGGTGCGTGCATAATGCGAGCTCGCGCTCGGCAAACGTTCCAGGCGTTGGCGGACGGCCGAGGTAGAGCGTCGCAAGTGACTGCCCAGCGGACGCAAGAGAGAGAGAAGATTTCTTCCCTCCTCTCTCGAAAAGAACGACGGGGAGCAACATGTACCATGTACTCTCTCCCTCTGCCACAGGCCTTGGCGCTTTAACACTAACGCCGTTGTTTTTTGTTCCCGTTTGTTATACACACACGGTCTGGCCGTAGCGCGAGACGTACAAGCTGGAGGCGATGGCCAAAGACAGGGGCTACCCACCCTTGTCGCGAACGGTGGAGGTTCAGATTGACGTTGTGGACCGTGCGAATAATCCGCCCGTATGGGACCACGTAGTGTATGGCCCGATCTACATTAAAGAGAACATGGCCGTCGGGGCTAAAGTTGTGTCTATTAAAGCCAGGTCTGTCACACTGTCAATGCTCCGTGCGGCTCTCTGCACGAACCCGCCCTGCACGCAATCTCGTGGCAGTATTGTTCTTGTGCACGTTAATTGATATTGTGTACGAATCCACATTACACGCATCTCAACACATTCATACACACAAACATACCATACTCGCAGAGGCGGCGCGCGCCACTACTCGCTCGCTCGCTCGCTCGCTCGCAGCATACGTAGACACACTTATGTTCGCATTTAGGGTTGACTTGACTTGTGGGAGACATGATCGGGATGTCGAGGGTATACAGGGGAGTCGTCGTCTGTACGGTCGCGGAGAACGTGGAGAACGTTGGAGGATCTTCGGCGCAGGACGTGAACATTAAAGCGATGGTTCTTAACGTGTCAAGAAAAAACTTAGAGCTCAAAGGAATTAAATAAAAAAAAAAAAAATACCAAATAGTGAGATACTTTCAATCAAAATTAAAATTAAAATTAGCATTGATTGTTTCTCCGCTGTCGATGTCCGAGAGCAATTAAACTTTCTAAATTGATTCTATTTCAAATACGAATAACAATAAAATTTTTTATTATATTTTCCAAGATAATTGAATTCTTGTTTGCGAATTTTTATTTTTCACGTAGGAACCACCGCTTCAGATTCGGAGTCATTCTTGTTCAAGTACGGCTTTTGCATTTATACAAACGCGCGAGACGCATTCACACGGGTCACATCGATATACGCATATTCGTAGGCGCGGTGCACGTTTTTCATATTATATATATAAGCGTAGATACGCACTTGGGAATAACGCGATTATGTTCTTGAAACATTTTGCTGCATCTCGACATGCACGAAACCGTTTTCATCTTTCCGAGCGAGAGCTTAATCGATTCCGCAGCGAGATTTAATTTCTTTCTACCTCATGGTGCCGGTAAGGCGTCTTTCTCGTGCATACTAAATTGAATAAACGACGCGAACCAAAGACCGCTTTTCATTCGTGCCTTGTAATTCGCGGGAATATAAGAAACGGCACGAGAGTCGAAGAAGAGCTGGGTCGAGTATCCGCCTCGACGCATTTATCATTAAAGCGCAATTCTCTGAACAAAGCGTGAAACCTATTGTTGCATAACAATTGACACAAGTAGAATCGTGCCACCTTGACTACGTTAAATATTAATTATTCGTCAACTGCCATTGTGTGAAGATTATTGCTTACTTGGGAAAACGGAAAGAGCAAATACGACAGTTTCGCGAATCGCCGAGAGACGTTACTTTTTTATTAAAATGTGTAATTTAACAAACTACGACGATCAAAGGAAAAACATGGATCATGGTAAAAATAATACTATACCTTTTCTAACTTTTTGAATATAATAAATATTCTATGCATTTTGCACATCAAACTCGTCATGAAAAATGAAGAAAGTATCCTACATTTTATTGCAATTTTTCGAAATATGTGACTTTGTAAAAAAATCTCGCAAATGGGCCGCGTTGGGAATTGCGCGTAGTATGTTGGCGGAAAAATATAGCTGACCGGTGCAAGCGCGTCTTTTTGTAGCGCATACCAAAAGCCGCGTCGAAAAAAACATTAGTAATGGGTAGTTTGCGCTTGACGTTCCGCTTTTAACGGCGGTCTCGCGGAGACACATGGACTTCCGGCGGGAACAAATTGGCTAATTACACGCGCTACACAAGAGGCGCCAGATGCAACCGTCACGCGCTGTCGGTGCAAGATAGTACATTTTATTGTAAATTCAGTATACGAGCTCTGCGCGCTGTGTCACGCAAATGTTTCGCTGGCTTATCTCGCTCAGACATGCGCCGAATTCGATTCTTCGCGGGTATTTTAGCAAGAAACAATGTCAGCGCACCCAATCCAAAGTTGCTAGCAAAGTCGTAATCTAATTTTAATTTTAATCTAATTTGAATTTTTCTTTTTAAGAGAACACGTGATACATGGTAAAATTATATCCTTCGTGCGAGAGCATTTTTTCATAATTTTCTAATTATTGCTTACTTATTTTTTTCATCAAATAAGAGGATACATCAATATAGTATATTATGTAACTTAATTTAATAATTAATAACTGTTGCACGAACTCGTTTGCATATTTAGATGAGTTTAAAATAAATGATCTTGAATGAATGCCAATTTTAGCACATATTTTTATAATATTATATTTTTATATGTAATTTTTTTTGCTTAAGACTCTTGGTGCGATAAATATTATTACTTATATTTTATTGAGCTAAATCTTGCCGGTTTTATGCATTCAAACGACGTTCTCGCGGATACCACAAATTCCACACTGGACTGTTAGTAACGTTAGTGACATTTCGGAGGATTAATTCCGGAGAGTTTACTCGTTAAGACCGCGCTTCAATGGCAACCGGAAAGGGATGCAGCAAAACGTTTCGTTATTCGCGTTAGTCCGCCATTTTCTGCGAACTTTCCTCATCAACGTTGCGCCACGCACACGAGCCTCGATGGAAAGATGTCACATCAGCTGTACACAAATACATACTATAATATTATCCGCCGATAATCGCTTCTCCCCTCGGGAATTCGCGGCCCAGCAAGAAACGCATTAACATTAATTCGTGCCACACAGCGTGTTTAAGCCTCAAACATTAACGGACGATGAGTGTTTTAAGTCACGTGTTTGTTCCTCCGCTGCGATTCAATAGCGATATTGTATACTACAGTAATTGCCAGCTATTTTGTACCACGACGAACTCTCGCGCCCGGAATTAGACGCAGAACTTTCTGTCTCTTTCTATCTATCTATCTATCTTTCATACATTTGTTGTGTGTGCCGTAAACATATTTTTGGGCATGTTTTACGAAATAGATGCTTCCCTGGATTATATATTATTGATTTTAATCAAACCGTTGTCGTTTTCTTATTTTCTCTCTCATGGTTTTTATCACTCATTGCGTGCCTCGTTTGTTTCCTTCTTCTTGTTTCATTCATTATATATATACATATATCATCTTTTTTTCGCACCAGATTGGCTTTTTTCAAAATTTACTTTGGTCTCGATTTCATTGTGTGCGCTCTTGTTGAGACTCCATCACCCACCGGTGATCAGAATCGTGTGAGTCAAGTCAAGGTATTCTAGCTGCTGCCGCAAGTGATCGAGCAGTTATGATTTTTCGTTGATCCCCAATGCCTGACTTCGCAGTCGCAGTCGAGCGTAATATCCAAGTATGTCGTATGTAACATACGTTCCGTTTTTACTCCTCCTTAGTTGTTATCAGTTTGTCCGTTATCGCTACGACTCACATCTTGGTTCGTCGCCAGGACACGCATACTCATTCAGTATTCCAATTATCGACATCATACGTTTCATGAATGCCGTAATTAATTTTTGGGCATGTTTCGTCAGTTGCTTACCTTGCGTTAGGTTACGACGTTTGTAACGTCACGTTTTTTTCTGGTTTTCTTTTTCTCCTTTTTTTTTCTTTTTCCTTTACTCTTCGAGAGCGTAGTGTGTTCTCGTAGTGTCTTTTTGTCGGCGAGACCTTTCTTGTACGCCGTTCGTACAGCAAGTTAAGTAACGATTTAGATTGGAGTTGATGAACATAGTTAGAGCATCTTTGATTGCTGAAAATCACCGTCTCGTATCACATCGGGCGGTATTGTAGTAGTGATTATATACCTCTCCAATTAAAATTGCGCGAGCTGGGACATTTGCTAATTGATCTGCGCCGCTACGTGACACTCGCGGATCGAAACGTATCGTATCGACTAAGCGAGAAATTCTCTCTCTCCGTTCTTCTCTTTGCAGAAAAGGAAAGAGAGGAGCATGAATTCACGAAACTCGAAACATAAATAAAATATACGGGCACTATCGATTTCCCGCGTCTTTCTAGCGAGTGAGCTGACGCAGATTTTTCCAATACGATTTTATCATTACAGGAAAACATTTCTTTTAAAAACAATGTAAATGTTGACAAAAATCAAATACGCTCGTTTGTTACACTTTCATGTCGAATTGGATATGTATGATAACTTCAAAGCAAATTGCTCTGTAATATCAAGAGTTCCTTCTCGCGGAGATGAAATTGTACTGGAATTGTTTAATAATATGTGCTCTCGTAAATACGTATCGTTTGTAATCTTACACACACACACACACACACACACACACACACACACACAGATACATCTGCTATTATCAGCACACTATTAATGGTTCGTAGGGTTATTATGCACCGACTTGGGATGTAAGGTTTCTAACATTGTTCTTTTTATCATAACTTAACACACATATCACTCTATACGACAATTTTACGTCTACAAGCTCGCTTCTTGGCTACATACTTAACGTAGTTGTACAACACGTGCGTGCACACACTCACACACTCGCAATGCAAATCTTCAGACTAAGGATCACGCTTATGAGCTATACTACTATACTAACCGACACTACAATATATATATACAACCACTCGAAGCGATCGTGATATCAGCCGTCAGACGTCGTCCACGGATAACGAGCAATTAAAATCTACGTGCGAGCGTCATTTGTCAGGGGCACGAGTCGCGCTATTATTCCAGCAGCAATGTGGAAATTAACATTCGGCCTCCGTGACACCGTTAACGAGTAATTGGAATTGATCAGCGAGAAGTTGTGACGGAACAACGTGAATTTATTTTATGCGCCGGTCGTGATTAATAAAGCGCCAAATTAAATTTCGCAGAAAAATTGAGATTTCATCCGAACGGCGAGCGGCCAATCAATATTGATACTACGAGATTCCAGGCTTTCAGGTGAGCTAACATTAACCAATATGTAACTTCGTGAGTGTTCCTATGAAGAGTAAACTAACGCACTTTTTAAAGTAAAGCCACCTTTCTCTCATCGGTGCATTTTTGGCGAATATATTTTTTCATAAAAAATTTATTTAACATACTAAAGATACAAAATGTGAAAATTGCGAAGGGAAATTTCACGAATTGAAATTTGCCAAAGATATTTGAACGGTTTAGAATTCATCATGATTAGAATT